CTATGTAGCCCAGGCTGGCCTCAAACTAGCAGCAGTCCTCCTGCCCCAGCCTCCCAAGTGCTGGGATTACAGGCATGTGCCTCCTCCCCCGGCTCCTTTTATTTTTAATTTTAATTTAATTTTATTTTTTTGAGACAAAGTCTCACTATGTAGTTAGGGCTGGTCCTGAACTCATTATGTAGCCTAGGCTGGCCTCAAATCACAGCAATCCTGACTCGCCCTCCCAAGTGCTGGTGTACAGGTGTATGTCTGCACATCCAGCTTTATTTTATTTTTTGAGACAGGATCTCCTAAGTCACTAAGTTGCCCAGGCTGGGTTTGAACTTGTGGAACTTCCTGCCTGAGCCTCCCAGAGTGCCAGCTGGGATTACAGGCATGCACCACCATGCCCAGCTAATTATTTTTGGATTGATAAATTACTCAAAAATGGGTTTAAAGTTACAGTATTCTATAGATTGTTTGCTGATTATTTTCCTCCATATGTTGTAGTAGTCTATCCATTTTAAACTTTCTATTCTTCCACTAGGAAATCCATGAAGTCCAGAAGTAGAAGTCCTGCATATTCAAGACACTCATCTTCCCATAGTAAAAAGAAGAGATCCGGGTCACGCAGTCGTCATTCCAGTATCTCACCTGTCAGACTTCCATTGAATTCCAGCCTGGGAGCTGAACTCAGTAGAAAAAAGAAGGAAAGAGCTGCTGCTGCAGCAGCAGCAAAAATGGATGGAAAGGAGTCCAAGGGGTCACCTATATTTTTGCCTAAAAAAGAGAATAGTTCAGTGGAGGCTAAGGATTCAGGCTTGGAGTCTAAAAAGTTACCCAAAAGTGTAAAATTGGAAAAATGTTCCCCAGATACTGAACTGCTGAATGTAACACATTCAAACACAGAGGTCAAAAATTCTTTAGATACAGGGAAAGTAAAGTTGGATGAGAACTCTGAGAAGCACCCTATTATGAAAGATTTGAAAGTACAGGGAACAAAAGACTCTAAACCCATAACACTGAAAGAGGAGATTGTTGCTCCAAAGGAGCCAGAGATACCAGAAAAGGAGACCCCTCCACCTCTCCCCACAGTTACTTCACCCCCTTTACCAACTACCACCCCTCCCCCTCAGACACCCCCATTACCACCTTTACCTCCACTACCAGCTGTTCCACAGCAACCACCTCTGCCTCCTCCCCAACCAGCATTCAGTCAGGTTCCTGCTCCCAGTACTTCAGCTTTGCCCCCTTCTACTCACCCAAGGACATCTACTCTATCCTCTCAGGCAAATTCTCAGCCCCCTGTACAGATTTCTGTGAAGACTCAAGTATCTGTAACAGCTGCTATTCCACACCTGAAAACTTCAACGTTGCCTCCTCTGCCTCTCCCACCCTTGTTACTTGGAGACGATGACATAGATAGGTAAGTCTCATAGTTAACTAGAAAAAATTAACCCTCTTGATCTAAGTGTATTTTCTGTTTTTATTTGTTTTTTGGGGGTTTTTTTGGTACTGGGGATTGAACTTGGGTCCTTGCTCTTGCGCAGCTATTTTCTGTTTTTAAACTTTGTCAAACTACTTTAATGCATGTCTTTCCAAAATGCTCTTATGAATAGGAAGTGCCTTTGATGTTGATCTTTGCTTTTAAGTGAAAAAGACCACATTCATGACATTACTTAGGAAGAAAGAATTAGAATTTGAGGCCTAGACAACCCATTGTATCATGTTTATTTATTGATAAGGCTAGCTTTAATTTTAACTATTGTCTCCTTATTTACGTATTTACTTATTTATTTTTTTTGAAACAGTCTTGCTGTGTAGTTCAGGCTAGTCTTGAATTTGTAACAGTCTTACTGGCTTCAGCTTCCGAAGTGCTGGGATTACAGGCATGTCGAACCATGCCTGGCTGTGTTTTTATTTTGATTTTTTTGAGACAAGAGTTGCACTATGTAGCTCAGGCTAGCCTTTTTTTTTTTTTTTTTTTTTTTAACTTTTATTCAGAAGTTACATATTGTCAGTACACCCTTTTTAAATAAGTAGGATATGGGAAGAAAAAAATACTTCTTAAACTTTATCTATTTTAAATGTGTGAATTTTTTCTCTTAATATGCTTGGGTAAAATTAATCTTTGAAAGGAAGTAAAAATCAAATCTACTTCAAAACATTTTTTAAAAAATTATAAATGAGTAAAATCATAAGACTTTGGACATATACAACCACAGTTAAAAAAAAGCCTTTTTTTTTTTCATATACATCATTAAGTTACTTCAAGTGCGATGGAAAGCTATAGCACTTCTTTCTGGACCAGTTCACATTCACTTTGAAACCCACTTCTGTCTTCTTCTGACCCTAAACATTAAAGTACATCTGTGCATTAAATCCCTGCGTATTTCACATGAAGTAGAAAACAGTCAAATATGTTCTAGTGCTCAATGTAAACATTTTAACTATTACTTACTAATATTCCTTAAAGGTACTTAGGAGTGTGTGTCACATATTCAAAGTTAACCTTAAGAATAGCACCATAACCAAAAAACAAAAACAAAAACACATAAAAATGCTTTTCTCCCAAAGCCCTTAGGTTTCCTTCAGAAGTTGAGAAGCTACCACTGTCAGCCATACTTTTACAGTCACAGGCCCATTCTTTTTCTGATGAAACTAAATCTAAGCCAAAACACTGCATCTGTACACAAAAGTCTCAGCAGTATGGACAAAAAGAAAAATTGGTAATTGGATAACCAGTCAGTCCATGACAACTTAGTTCAGTCCAAAGAACGAGAACAGTTCTATAAATGAAGCCTAAACTGTCAAAGACTGGTTTACAAAAGGAATTTATGTACGTATAAATGTATTTCGTATTTATTTATGGATTTTTGGTACCTTTTTGCAGATGATAGTAACATGCAGTTATAACCCTGAGAACAGATACAAAGCTGAGAGGCTTAGGAAGAAGTTAAAATAAATTAATGGGTATGACAACTATCACCATTTCTTAAAACTTAGGGATGCATGTACAAGGCATCCCATGAATTTTTTCAGGTGAACAGTTGAGATAATTACACTGAATCAGCCTGCCTATTGTCCACTTAACAAGAGCACTGAGAAGAAAAGCATCATTATTTGGCCATGTGATAACAGGGCTCTCTAAACCATCAAAGGACAGGCAGGCATCCTGCCTATCTCAGCCGGAAATGTCCAAAAGCACCTTCCCTATGTCAGAGTAAGAATCAAAGGTACCTCCTACCATGTCAAATGAAATAGCTAACTTAAAGGTAGGAACACTTAGGATCATTCTCTAACACTGATAGCAGAGTCAGATGCTTTTCCTACCTGCCACCTCAAGGAAAAAGGAAAAAAGGGTTAACTTTGTCTAAAACCAAACACAGTTAGGGCTAATAAATAACTTAATGGTGCAATACTGTAACTTACTCTTTAACTGGAAAATATGTAAACCATTTCAGGCACAAACAAGTTAGGAATGGCCACTTATACTGTTCAGAGTAGCGTAAGCTATCAAGTAAAAGTACTTACTGTATTTGGCTCAAAAATAAGTGTACTATAGGTACTTGGGGTGATAAAAAGTTTCACTTTAACTGGATTCCTAAATTATTTTACCACAAAACATGACAGTTTCTTCTCACATTGAGACTAGAGGCCACTAATAAAGATATACTTAGTTACCCCAGCAAAGAACACTTAAAATTGCACCTGGCAGCAGTAAGTGAAAATAAAAAGATGGAAAATGGCATTGAACTATTTTCCTATGCAGGTAAGGTTTGCAATTGCACTCTTAGTAAAACTCAACTCTATAATTTTAATACAGATGGGGGAATCTATATACACTTACACACTCTTTTAGCCCTGTATTACCCTATTTAACAACACAATTTCCCTAAATCTAAGGCACACAAACTCCTCCATTTCAGAGTAAGATTATGGAAGAGCAAAATTTTGGTTAAATCACAGTGAAAGTCAGGAGACTTTGGACAGAAGACAAAATGATATAGCATCTTGTTAGTGCACAATATGAAAGTAAATGCTACAGCTGACTCTGCTCTGGCCTTCGAGCTTTGAATATGCACTCAAGCATTGAAAATAATTTACTAACATTTTATAAATTCAAGTTTATAATATAAAAGTCATCATGTTTTCCTTAAAAAGAAAAGACCAATGGCATTTGGGAAGAAAACTGGAAACCATTTCAATGAAAATGACCAAATCTGGTAAATGCAATGTCCTCAAGTAGCCAGGGAAGGGGTACAGGCAGGGAGTGGTAGGTACCTTGATCAGGCTAGCCTTAAACTCACTATGTAGTCTAGGCTGGCCTCAAACTCATGGCAAGCCTCCTGGCTCAGCCTCCCAAGTGCTGGGATATCAGGTATGTTTTTATTTTGAAAAATTTAATATTATAGAAAAATTAATGGAATAATATTAACATTCCTGTATACTGTACTACATTAGGTTCTCCAGTTAATTAACTTTGGTGGAGGAGGGGAGGTTGAGATAGGGTCTCCCCATGTAGTCCAGGCTGGCCTTGAATTTGAGGTCCTCTTGTCTCACTCTCCCTAGTGCTGAGATTACAGGTTTGCCCCATGTTTGACTGATTGTTAACATTTTGCCACGTGTGTATTTTGGGTTTGTTTGTTTGTTTGTTTGTTGTTTTTGTGGTGCTGGGGATTTAACCCAGAACTTTGGGCATACTAAGCAGTCAACTCTACTTCTTAGCTATATCCCTAGCTCTTTTATTTATTTTATTTGTATTGAGGACTAAACTCAGGACCTTGCACATTCTAGGCAGGTACTCTTTAACCTCAGCCCTCCCAGTCCTTTTAAGACAGGGTCTCCTTAAATTGTCCAGGCTGGCATAGAATTCATAGTCAGCCTCCCAAGTAGCCAGAATTATAGGTGGGCCCTGTCCCAACTTTGTTTTCAATGCAGATATGGTGATATTTCTAATATTTTGCATGTCTTTCCTACATAATCACCGTATCTTCACCACCCTGAAAAATTTAATATTGAGTTAATAACGTAATATTAATAGTCGTAGCAATAACATAATGTTGATAATATTTAAATAGCGACAGCAGTCTCTAAAATGTTTTCTCTTCTTTTTGAAATGAGATCTTACTGTGTTGCCTGACTGGCCTTAACACCCTTCTGCCATACCTTCCAGGTAGCTGGGAAGCACCTGCCTGGCTTTCCAAAAGTGTTGGTTCTTTTGCCAGTATTGATGATTGAACCCAGGACCTTTGCCCTGAGCTACATTCCCCATCCCTTTTTTAATTTTTTATTTTGAGGCAGCATCTTCCTAAGTTACCAAATTTCCCGGGCTGTGCTTGAAATTATAATCCTGCCTCAGCCTCCAAGGATGCTGGATTATAGGCATGTACCACCGTGCCTGGATTCAAAGTATCTTATAGCTGGGTTGTTTGGTGATGGTTGTTTCAGATCTAGAGTTCAAACTAGATTTCTTTTTTTTTTTTGAGACAGAGTCTCGCTGGCCTTGAACTCACTATGTAGACCAGGCAGGCCTTGAACTTGTGGCAGTCCTCCTGCCTGAGCCTTCCGAGTGCTGGGACTACAGGTGTGTATCACCACACCTGGTTTCAAACTAGATTTTGAAAAGGGCTGCTTTTTAAAAATTTTTAATTACCCAGCCAGGCCTGGTGGTACTCGCCTGTAGTCCCAGCACTTAGGAGGCTGAGGCAGGAGGATTGCAATATTGTAGAATATTTGCTAGTGAGAAAATAATTCACATTGAGATTAGAAAAGCTTTAATTTTAATGAGTCCTTTGAATTTTGAAAATGGAAATGATTATGAATCACAAATCTGATTTTATGGAAGGCAAAAATAGGAAAATATTTATTTCATTTATTGGTCTAGGTAGGCAAGACCACCAAACATGAGTTAGCAATAACATGTCACAGCAGTGTTTGTGTTACTGTTTTTTCTGTTGAGATAGTGACCTATTTTATGGGAGATAAGTTGCATTTACTGTAACAAACTTTTCGTTAGAAGCATGAAATAAGTGTCACTGATCTTGCATCCCACCCAACTCTTAAAACTGGTACTTTATACATGCCATCAGTAATTTGAATGTTGGCTCATTTTAACCCTGAGGTCTGTGGTCCTGTAAAAGGGTTAAACAGGTGCAGTAAATGGAAGAAAAGAGAGGTGTTTGTTTGCCTGTGGTGCTGGGATTGACAGGCATGGTGCATGCAGTGCAAGCCCTTTATTGCCGAGCTACATCCCCACCCCCACCTTTTTTTGTTTACGATGGAACCCAGGCATGGCATACCACTGAGCTACATCTCCAGCCCTTTTTATTTTTTTATCTTGAGCTAGGGTCATCCTTAATTGCCCTGTCTAACCTCAAATTTGTGGTCCTCCTGCCTCAGCTTCCAGAGTAGCTAGAGCTATAG